ATTCAACTGCGTTAGCAAACTGATGTTTCTAATGCCAGTACTCCATGTCCAGCCGTAGATAATGGAAGATATAAACTGAGGGGAAAAAAGATCTTTGGCTCAACAGCCCTAACCATTCCTGGCCATATTAGGAAGCTCTAAGTTCTCCATCTCTGCTGAAAGCCAATTAACACAGAGAAGACTAGGTTGACATGACAATCATGGGAAAATACAGGCAGTTCTCGATTTAGGACCATAACTGAGCTCACAAGTTGTAAAGTGGGTCATCAGGTAACAATTTCCTGACCCTTTTTTGCATCAATTAATAGCAATAGCAATAGCAGTTAGACTTATATACCGCTTCATAGGGCTTTCAGCCCTCTCTAAGCGGTTTACAGAGTCAGCATATTGCCCCCAACAACAATCCGGGTCCTCATTTTACCCACCTCGGAAGGATGGAAGGTTGAGTCAACCCTGAGCCGGTGAGATTTGAACAGCCGAACTGCAGAACTGCAGTCAGCTGAAGTAGCCTGCAGTGCTGCATTTAACCACTGCGCCACCTCGGCCCTTAAGCAATTAAGCAAACACCGTGGCAGTAAAGCAAATGCAATCATTAAGCAAACACTATAGTTGTTAAATGAACGCCTTGTTCACTCAGAGGCAGGTTTTGCAGGAAACAGGAAGTGAATTCCCTTCACTTTATGGCGTACTGTATTTATGACGTTCACAAAAATGTCATAAGTCGCGGTCACGTGACTGCTAGATGCTGCAAATGGCTGCAAACCAGAGATGGTATTCAGCCAGTTCTGACAGATTCTGGAGAACCGGTAGTGAACATTTTGAGTAGTTCGGAGAACCGGCAAATAGGCTGGCCCCGCCCCTGCTGCCTGCTAGTTGATCTTCTTTTGTTGCCTTGAACAGGAGAACAGAGTTGGAAAGCAGGTTAGTGGGGTGAGGAGGGAATGGGGATTTTGCAGTATCCTTCCCCTGCCACACCCACAAAGCCACTCCCACAACGCCACACCATGCCCACAGAACAGGCAGTAAAAAAAATTTTTGAATCCCACCACTGCTGCAAACACGGTCTGGTTGCCAAGTGTCCAAAATATAATCATGTGACTGGGGGGGGGGAGGCAATCAGAATTTCAAAACTGAATCATAAATCTTTTTTCGGGGTCCTTTGTGCTTTATACCGTTATTAAGCAACAGGTCATAAGTGGAGGACTACCTGTACCACAATTGCGCTGAAAAGACCTTCTGTGTCCTTGTATCCTGCAGAGGCTTTGAGTCTCTACACAAATTATACAAGCAGGCAGAAACTGGCGAATCCTGGACATTTAATTACAAGGAATCTTACAGCGTCCCCACAGAGCTTTCTTGTTCCTAACCTTTTGTTCTGCTGGTTCCAGCGTTAGCCAAAGAGCAAAAATAGCAATGTCTTGCTATCTTTTGGCCCCCGAGACAAAAAGGCACAATATAAACAATATTTGACCTCAGGAGCTCACCCAGCATCTATCAAATGCACTGAAATTGTCAAGCCTTTGAATAATGGTTAAACAAAGACATCAGTTTTATAGCCTTGCAACATTTAACATTCTGACCAAAAGCATAAAACAAAGCAAAACAAAACAAAAATCTCACTGCTCATACCATGTTTCCCCGAAAATAAGACAGGGACTTATTTTCTTTTGACACCCCCCCAAAAAAATAAGCGCTTGGCCTTATTTTCGGGGAGGTCTTATTATTTTTGAGGTGCAGGAAGCGGCGAGCATGGTCACCTCATGGCTGCTGCTGTGTTGCAATATTTTGGGGGGGGGGCTTATTTCAGCGCATGCGCTCAAAAGCCCAACTGGGCTTATTATCCGGGGAGGTCTTATTTTCAGGGAAACAGGGTAGATCTAAATCTGAATAATCTATTTTGCAATCCGCTGGATATGTTACGATACTATAACCATTCTTTGCTTTAAAACAAGGAAATAATCTAAGAAGAACCTAAAGTTTGCAAGATGAAGATCTTGTTCTTCTAAGCGGTTGTGTGTTTATGTGGATAATTATTCAAACCCCAATCAAACAAAAAAAACCTAGAAAATGCTGAAATTGACCATTCTCTCAGGAATAAAGACGTATAACCACAAAATTGCACCCCGTATGGCCTATCATCGTATTTAAAGCAACTTGTTTGTGTGTATCACACTAACTAATCACACCAAGACAACTAGACACAAGAACAGTTTTTTCCCGAATGCCATCACTCTGCTAAACAAATAATTCCCTCAACGCTGTGAAACTATTCACT